TGAATTCACTCCCGAGGTTCACCCTTCAGCCAAAGATTAGACAGGTCCATAAAACAAAACGAGACTGAAGGGGCACAACAGCCCAAGGGACAAGCACTAGAAGGCAGGAGGGGCCAGGAAACCTGGTAATACGGAACCCAAGGTTGAGAAGGCAGAGTGTTGACACGTCATGAGGTTGTTAACCAGTGTCATAAAACAATATGCGTACTAACTGTTTAATGAGAAATTAGTTTGTTCTGTAAACCGTCATCTAAAGTACAATTAAAAACAAAATTACAGCCTAAGAAACCCTATGGGGCAGTTCTACTCTGTCATATAGGGTCACTATGAGTTAGAATCGACTTGACGGCACGCATCTACAACAAGGTTAAATTTAGCATAAAATCTTAAATATGGTTATTAGATGGCAGGATTACTGGTGATTTTCTCTTTCTTCCTCAAATTTTTCTGTATAACCTGAAGTTTTTTCTTTTTTTCCCAATGCACATGTTACTTTTATAAGCAGAAAAAAAGGTATTTTAATTTATCAAAAGCCTTATTACTCGGATACTTTAAGAAAATATTTTATTTTGTACTAGAGACAGAATAGTTGCAGCTGCTACTGCAAAATTCCCTAATTTGACTTTCGAGTAGCATTGAAATAATTTTATTTAAACTATTGTCTAAACCATATAACCAGTCATACTAATACACTAACCTTGTAATTACTGATTCTCCTCTCTCATAAATGAAAGAGATAGGGAAAAAGAGCATATTGCAGAAAAAACCTGAATAATCTGCTATTCTAATTTAATTTGATCATGCTCTGAATTTCTCAAATGTGTTATTTTCTTTGAGAAGCATGTTACTTGATAAAGCTGTTTTTCCTCATCTGGGTACTTATAAATAGCAGAAAAAGAAAACACTTTTAGACTTTAAGTATCCTATAAGCTAACTGTCTTCCCTCCTGAAGTCAAAATTAAATCTATTTCTAGCAAAAAAGTTGGAAGACTTACTCTTCTGAGAGTTTTTCCTTCTCTTCAGTTCCATACAGTTTGCCTGTTCTTAAAGATGTACTATGAGAGTTTGTACCTATTTCCTGGTTCTAGAAAGAGGCATGTCAGCACATGCCTAAAGTGAACATTTCCTCAA